ATATGTATATATATATAAGGAGAGAGAAAGATTTATCAACTTGACATCCAATGTAAAAATCCTGTGGCTAATCCAGTGGAGGATTACTGGAGTATGACAGGAGGGTTTGTTTAGATTATTTTGACTCACCGAGTTACAAACAGGACACAACAACTTATAGGACAGAAACTTCCGTATGCACAGAGAACAAACTGTTGGAACAGCAAAAAGAAAAAAATTACTTTGTATTTTGCTCAAAGCAATTATGCCAGTTAAAACATCATGCATGTCAAACGTTTATAAACTGAACTGCAGAAGTATACGTACAGTTATGAGAACACTGGGTCATCATGGTGATGTTGAGAAACTCAAAGCAGATAGGACAACGGAGGAGGGTGTCTATGCTCTGATACAGGCAACAAATAAACAGAATCTGATGTCAACGAACCTGGGAATATCCAGATTTATGACTATTACATTATATCTGTGGCACTGTGACACGTGCTTATTGATGTATAAAACTATGCAACAGTTCATTCTGATCAATATCAGGAAAGCACTGGACATAAAACAAGAACATAATGAATAGATTTCGTGTGTTATATCAGTAAAACAACAACTGAAGTAAGACGTTTAATTAAAAAGAAAAATTTTCTGTGAGACGCGTTAGAAATCGAGATTACAAAATTATATTAACTTATACACACATGTGAGCGGCAAATAACACAATGGTATCAGATAATCTTGTTTCAACTGCAGACTTAACAAAGTTGAATAACAGAACGTACTTTCAGACATGACAGGTTCGGCGGTAAGTCCACTTCGTTTAGCTGAGCCATTCTATGCAAATCCCTGTGCTGCTATTATCTTGATTTAGACGAAAGAAGAAAATTAATATGAACTCTAGCTCTCTTGATAGCAACAATAAACTCCCGCGCATCGCTAAACACGTCCTACAATAGCGTCACTTCCGGTTGAAACACATAACAAGAGCATGACACGACATTTACAAAAATGCCATGGGACTTTTTGTATACTGTTTTTAATTTTTGAGCATTCATTTAAAAAAAAAATCCCATGGGTAACCATAGTTTCTGCCAAAATAGCAGAGTTATACAATTATTATTACTTTTGTAAATTCAAAATAAATTAATATAAGCTAGAAGTTTCAAAACACTGTAAGAATCTTTCAGAGAATTTGACATTTGTTTGTTTGAAAAGCATCAAGTCAACGTTACTAGAGTGTTATTGTAGAAACAACTGAGGTAGCCTAATGATTATGGGTTTTTTGACATTGATTTCCATGATGATTTTACTAAGGAAAGCATACTTGCAAAGGCCAGATGTTAAAGGGGTCATATGATGCTGCTAAAAAGAACATTATTTTGTGTATTTGGTGTAATGAAATGTGTTTATGCGGTTTAAAGTTAAAAAAAACACATTATTTTCCACATACTGTACATTATTGTTTCTCCTCTATGCCCCGCCTTTTTGAAAGGCGTCGTTTTTACAAAGCTCATCGGTCTGAAAAAGCGAGGTGTGCTGTGATTGGCCAGCTATCCAGTGCGTTGTGATTGGCCGAATACCTCAAGCGTGAGACGGAAATGTTACGCCCCTCACATACTGTTGATGCCGTGTCCCGGCCGGAGCGACGAGACAAAAACATTAAAACCCATTACAAACGAGGCATTTGTTGCATCCAGTGAGGACATAATTACTGATTATAATGACTTATACTGTCTTTTTACGCGTTGCGTTGCATTGCATCGCGCGCCGTGTAAACATAAAACTGTCTGCAAAGAGAAAGGAAAAATTGAAATCGCATCATATGACCCGTTTAATAAAATATTAAAGGGCAAATAATAAATATTAAAGTAATAAAGTGTAGAATCCTTCAATTAAAATATAATATGAAACACTTTATATGATTGCTTTTAAATTGCAATATTTAATAACAAATAATTCCTAAATGTTATATGTTAATATAAATACAAATTAATTGTATTTGTAAAATTTAATTTAAATGGCCTTGGAGCAAAATACAGTCATAATTAATGTAATTATTTATTAGATGTGGTTTAGTCATGATCCTTTAATAAGTGGATTTATTCCACAGAATAGTAGAGAATGAATTATGGCTATAATGTTATGGAATATTGGAAGAGGTCAAAAGGACAAATTCTAATCCTAATATTAATCCTTATAATCGATTATTAATAATTATATTTTTACTTATTAATATACTGCACTATTATAAATATTTTGGCATATGACAGTGAAGGTGATGTTCCACAGCCCACAGAGTGTCACTAAACCGAATAAGTGATCATAGCCGGGTGTAAGATAGTATGAGACTGAATGAATAGTCATGCACTTCAAGCACTCTGCTATAACACACGTAGTTCTTCTGCCTTGTTTCTCTGAATGTCAAGGCTAAGGAAAATAAAAAAGTATGAATACAAGCTATGCTTATTAGTAAATCTGTTCTGTGTATGTTTGCTGAAAGGTTAGAGTACATGCCAAATAAAGACATTCAGTGTGAATGTGAATTTGTAGAGTAATAATATTAAAGGGGTCATATGATGCGATTTCAATTTTTCTTTCTCTTTGGAGTGTTACAAGCTCTTGGTGCATAAAGAAGATCTGTAAAGTTGCAAAGACTAAAGTCTCAAATCCAAAGAGATATTCTTTATAAAAGTTCAGAGTCAGCCACACCTACCTAAAACGGCTCGTTCTAACACACCCCCACATGTCTACCTCACTATGTGGGAAGATTTGCATAACGCCGCCCAAATGTTCACGCAAAGAAAGAAGGCGTAACCGAAGAAATGAGGTCATAACCGTTCACTTTCATCAAGTATAAACAGGGTGATATTTAGACTTATGAGAAGGACAGGATCCCATTGCTCTATTAAACTGAATATTGTTCTTTACTTAATAACAAAATTAAGAAGTTTTCATACAGTATTGCACTAACAAACACACTTTTTGCTACACACTGAGTAAAATCACACACATATGTAACTGATTTCCTTAGCTTGACTTGGATAGTGATATAGCCTCATCTAATCTACGGTAAGTGCACCTATCAGACATACGAGTATGGAAAATGAAAATACACGTTGAAACTGAGGTTCAATTGCCCTATTCAGATGCTTATTTTGCATGAATATGATTACAAACAAGGCTGACTGACAAGTTTAAGTATACAGGTACGCGTTCCAAATGACTTAAAATGTGAAAGGGATTATTCTCTGACGTCTACTGGTGCCTCTCTTTGTGGATCACAGAACACAGGCAAAATGTAATGGATAGTCTTAACTGCCAAGATACATGAAAACCTTTTAGAAAATAATAAGCCCATTTTGTCTTCAAGGTGGATATCATTAAATCATGGGGTTCTCAGGTCATCAGAGTATGTCCACCAGTGTATACTTTAGATTTGGATGTGTCACATACATTGATAAGCACAACTGTAGAAAGCTGTGAGGGTAAAGATCTTTGCTTTCAGCACTCTATGGCTTGGCAGAGTTACAATTGGACTATAAAATGTGTCAGACAGTAATTCAATATCCACAATGGGCATTTGACTAAGCTTTCTTTGTTTATCTGAATCAAAAAAAATTATTTCAAATGTAAGTAGCAGCATTTTATTGACTACCTGATTTAAACTTGCTGCTATGACCATAAAAAAAAAAATGCTGATATTACACTTGAAAAAAAAAGAAGAAGAAGAAGAAGTAAATGTACTGGTATTTTTCTGCCAGGACATTATCCGTTCATTTCAAGGATATTTCTGTTAACCGTAAAACATGCACTGAAGTACAAAATTAAAAATACAGGTAAAACACCAGTAAAAAAAAAACTATACAGAAAATTTATTCATTTTAATACAGTATTATTGTGCCCTATTTTTACAGATTTTTTTTAACAATGTACAGTAAACATTATTTCTTTATGCAAGAGACTTTCCTTGGCTTTTATTAAATGTATGGATTTTATTTAATAAAAGTAAAAAAAAAAAATGCATCATTAAAATAAGTGGGATATGGAGAACATGACTTCAATTATGAAAAAAATTATTTCAAGTGTAAGTAGCAGCATTTTATTGACTACCTGATTTAAACTTGCTGCTATGACCATAAAAAAAAAAAATGCTGATATTACACTTGAAAAAAAAAGAAGAAGAAGAAGAAGTAAATGTACTGGTATTTTTCTGCCAGGACATTATCCGTTCATTTCAAGGATATTTCTGTTAACCGTAAAACATGCACTGAAGTACAAAATTAAAAATACAGGTAAAACACCAGTAAAAAAAAAACTATACAGAAAATTTATTCATTTTAATACAGTATTATTGTGCCCTATTTTTACAGATTTTTTTTAACAATGTACAGTAAACATTATTTCTTTATGCAAGAGACTTTCCTTGGCTTTTATTAAATGTATGGATTTTATTTAATAAAAGTAAAAAAAAAAAATGCATCATTAAAATAAGTGGGATATGGAGAACATGACTTCAATTATGAAAGTTTGCCCATTCTTTCTAAGAAAGAAAGAAAGAAAGAAATCATTAAAATCATTGAAGGAGCACTTTATGTATGTATATAGTATCTTTATACAACCCCATGAAATATGTTTAATATGTATAAAATAATATGTTTTTGTTGTGTGTAATATATAGTTGTTGTTGTTTTTTTAAGCAATTTTATTAAATGGTTATAAAAGTAGTCTATATATAGTTATAAAAGTATATTCCAGGCTTTGTCACTTGCATCCCTACTGAAAATCCTCCATACTGAAAAGCTCCACAGAAGATTTAGCCCAGTTGTTCAGACTAAAATACATAGAACTATCTAAAAATGATCACATAAACTAGTGTTGAAGTGTACATATTCGATTGCTCGATTAGACAACAAATATCAATGTCTTTGTCATCAAAATACCACACAAAAAGTCTTTGTGAGTTCTCTCAATTAAAGCATCAGATTAGATCAGTCCTGCTGCCATTGAGACCAGTGAGCTGTCCTTAACTTTCAAATAAATCTGGACGATGTTCAAGAAACCATCATACTTTTTTGAGCATTGTGAAGTCCACGTAATTAAATGTAAATTTATGACACAACCCAGCCTTCAGTCAGGCTGTTCCACCAAATTGGACAACCAAACAGGGAGGACAATTGTAAGAGTGGTGACCAAAGGCCAGCAAAACACTTCTTGGATGAAATGGCAAAAACTGTCCATCAACGATCTTTTCACCACACTTCATTTGCTTGGCCTCTCTGGGAAAGTGGCCGATAGAAAGCCAATTTTGAGAAACGCCAACATTAAGTCAGTGCTGCAGTAAACTAAAAGCCACGCGAAGCATTTGAAAGTGATGAAACTAAATTTGTGCTCTTTGGCCTGAATGCTAAGCACTATGTTGACAAAGTAACACCTCCCCTAACATCAGTCAAGAACGGTTGTGGCAGCAGTACACCTGTGCCTTAGGGTTGCTTTAAGAAACTGGAAAATTTGAAGGAAATAAGAGGAATATGGATAAAGCCAAATCCAAATCCTTGAGGAGAATCAGTTTCAGTCAGTCAGAGATATCACTTAAGATACATTTTCCAGAAGGACAATGAAGCAAAAAGTAAATGCTACAATATATAATTGACCTGCAAAAAAAAAAAAAGTATAATCTGGAATGACAGGCTTCAGGCAGACTTCAGACTTCAATTCAACTATAAAGATTTCTAAATTGCAGTACAAAGAAAATATTGGTATAATTTGGTACAATTAGAAAAATTACAATAATGGGGAAATATTAATGTAGAAATTGCATTGAATTTAGGAGGTAAATATTTTAAAATAAATTTTATTCAAAATTCAATATTTTAATTTTATCATTTAAATTTGACTATAAAAAATAAATGCAAGAAAACAGTTTTGCAGCATATTTGTTTTCCCTGCTCAATAGTTGCAGTGCAGCTAATGCACAGATTACTT